GAGCTGGGGAAGCTGCCCCAGAAAACAGGGGTGCAGAGGGGCTGCTAAATAAGTTCAGGTGTCTATATCTCCATAGGCATGTGATCCATATAAATGAGGCCACTGAGGCCTGTCTATCCCATAAATGTTTTCCCCCTCAGTTTCCCCCTCTGCCCCTCTTTCTTGGATGCTATACATAGATCATACTGTTTCCACCGTTGCCCACCACAGTGCCCCCCTGCCACCCACTGTGGTTAGGGGGTCTCAACTTCCTCCTCCCACCCCACACTTGTGGTCTAACGGCCCACCTGCTCCACGTGCCGTGCTCCCCGCCTGCCACGTGCTCGCCTCTGTATTTTTAACTCCACTTTCCAGAGGAAGTGGTTTCCGTGGGGAAGCTTCAAAGCTGACCCAGATCTTGGGGCAGGCATGTTGCCATGGAGCTGCTGACGTGCACGGCGCCTCCTCTTCTCACACCACCTGGGCGCTAAGACCTGTTTCCACTTCCTGTCCTACTTGCTGCTTCCTGTCTCAGCCCGAGGTGGTGGTTTTTTGTTTTTTTGGGTTGAAATAAACAATACAGCCATGAATCAGGGGGTGGGGGGAAGCGCCTTTGAAATGCATTCATAGGGCTTTCATTGATTGATTCATTGAGGAGCGAAGGGAGCACTTTGCTCAACCTGGCATCTCAAAGGCCCCATTGGTGTTCTCGCCCAGTCCAGTAACCTGTGGTTGGGACGAGGTTTGTTTTTGAGAACAAAAGATATAGTTGTGGGATAGAGCTGTTTATTTGTTGTTTTTTGTTTGGTTTTTTGGGGGGGGGTTGTAGAGGTGCTCATGGGAGTTAGTGTATTTGGTCTGGCCTGTCTCTCACAGGGCTCTTCAACATCCCAACTTCCATGGCACCAAGCGATGGGAAAATCTCTTCTCTCTGGATATGTCACTTTTGCTTCTGGTTTGAACCTACTCAGAGTCATGTTCCAGCGGTTGCATCCCATTTATACCTGTTGGCTGTCTCAAGATTGCTTGATAGTTAGAGGCATCCTGGGAATGTAACAGGCATATGGTAATTCTCCTGGGAGGTTTCAAAGTGTTTAGTCATTCTCCTTGATCAAGGAATAGCTCCCCAAGTGGTTAGGACATATTAGATTTGGCCTATAAGGTGCAAAATTACTCTGCCTTCTGCCCAAGGTCAGACTACCATGGCTAACTACCTCTCTCTGCTCTTGGAGGGTGACAGTCGGGGAATGGAGAAAGTGGATTGAAATCGTAATGCACCTATAGGCAAGAGAAAAGGATTATAGGATCATAGGAAAGTAGGACTGGAAGGGACCTCATGAGGTCATCTAGTCCAATTCCCCTGCTCCAGGAAGGATCATCCCTAAATAAACCATCTCAGACAAGTCTTTGTCCAAACTATTATTGAAAATGCCCAAGGTTGGAGATGCCACAACATCTGTTGGTAGCCTGTTCCAGTACTTCAAAATCAGCAATTTCCTCCTGATCTCCAACCTAATTTTCCCCTGTTGGAGCCTGAGGCCATTGCTTCTAATTCCGTCTCCTATGACCAGAGAAATGCCCATCTCCATCTCCCCTGTCATTTCCTTTCAGGTATTTGAAGGCTGTTATCAAATACCCTCTCAGTCTTCTCTTCTCCAGACTAAATAACCCTTTTCTTTTAAGTCTTGCCTCCCAGGCCCCTAATTATTTTTATCAAAGGAATAGTAGCTAGCTATGTGTATGCATGTGATTGGATGATTCAAAGAAGAATGTACGTATAAATACGTATGCTTTTTGGAGAGTTTTGAATTGGTGTGTATTTTGGCATGTTTTCCCTGTGGCAATCAGCCTGGCCATCAAATTGATAGGGAATGAAAGCTATTTTAGGTTCTATTGGGTTCCTTTTATTCACTGAAAAACCACCAGGGCCACGTCTGCATGAGACACTGACTGCGCAGTAGCCCAGTACTACTGTGCCGTAGGGTTGTATGGCAACAACTGATGAGAGGCTACTGTGCAGTAGTATTAAGTTACTGTGCAGTAGCATCACAAAAAAGACATTCACCGGCACTACTGCACAGTAACTCAGGTTCCTGTATAGACAGAGCCCAGTAGTAGGGCTGGAGAAGTGTCCCTGGAGGTTGCAACACTGCTTTCATCCCCCAAATCCCAGAGTCCTCTGCTCGCAGAAGTCTCCTTACCTTGGGGCTTGCACAACACTGCTCTGTATCACTATTATGATGGATCCAGCACCTTGGAGACACTGGTTTGAGTCCTGGCTTTGCCCCAACCCCATGTTTAACCCTAGCCCTGTCTCTTAATCTCAATGCATGTCAGCTCTCCCTGTCTTTAATGACATGGGATGTTGCTTGATGCAGAGAGGGAGTTGGGCAGAAGGAATAGATTCAGCTGTGTCAGACTGATTGTCACATTTGGGCTCAGGAATGGATTTTACCCCATGGTCAGACTAGTACAGACTCAGCCCAGCGGTTGCCTTCCTGTAGCAGGGGGCATGACCCTGTTTGCATGTCTCAAGTGCATTTTAACAACCCTTGCAGAGGCAGCCCTCACTAGCTTGCATTGCCTATGGTAGGTTTGGGTGCTCTTGGCATCTTTGGCCAATGGGCCTTGTAGCCATGCATCAGGATTGATTGTGTAGTTTTAGGAATAGGTTAGACAGAGATTTGTATGGGATGGCTTGGATAAGGATGATCCTGCTTCAGGCAGGGGGTTGGATTAGATGACCTCTGTAGGTCCCTTCTAGCCCTTCTTCTCCGTGATTCTATGGCTGTGAGAATGAATCCCTTGATACCGCTGAGCGCAGGCCAAAAAGCCTGCTGTTAGCACAACTGTTAACCCCACAACTATATTTCCATCTCCAAACTCAATAGCAACAACTTGATTAGTAAAAACGGGGCTCACTATCAAGTTGCACAAGCTCACCAAGGCCTTGTTCAAAATTTGTGATGACTAAAGTTAAATTAAAACTTGTGATCCTGTTGTCAGGTAAAAAAAAGAAAGATGTAACAAGACATCACCTTGTATGGGTGTGATTTGGACTACAAAAGTTATTTCCCTTATTTTCTAGAGGGAAATACATCCGTCTCCCCCAACCCCATACGCCCTTCTCTAAGACACCCAGTCCTTCACCACCAACCATAGGCCTGGCATCCCTTGGAGGGGAAATACCCATTGCCCTCCCTTTCCACCCCAGGGCTAGATTGGAGCTGACAGGCCTCAAGAGGAATGGCCCTGTATCCTATTCCCTAGCCCCATAAGCCAGCCAAGTCCCTTCTCCCTGGGGCCAGATTGCACCCAGCACCCCTTCATTTCCAGCTTTTTTTCATGGGGAAGATAGGAAAATAGGGCTGGAAGTGAACTTACAAATTCATTTAGTCCAGCATTTTACAACCCTTCCCACCCCGCCAGGATCATTCATGATGAAACCATCCCAGCTAAATGCTTGTCTAAACCATTCTTGAAAATTTCCAGGGATGGAGATTCAACAACTTCTCTAGGTAGCCTGTTCCGATGCCTTACCATTCCCATAGTGAAAATGTTCCTCCTGATCTCTAAACTACATTTCCTCTGCTGCAGATTGAGTCCATTGCCCCTAGCTCTGTCCCCTCCAGCCACAGAGAAAAGCCCGTCTCCATCTTTTCTGTCACCACCATTCAGGTATTTGAGGGCTGTTATCAAATTCCCCCTCAGTATACTCTTCTCCAGACTAAACAGCCTTAGTTCTTCCAGACTTCTTTCCTCAGAAGTCATTTCCCATGCCTCTGATCATTTTTGTTTCTCTGTGTTGGACTCCTTTCAGTCTGTCCACATCTTTCTTGAAGTGTGGAACCCAAAACTGAACACAGTACTCCAGGTAAGGGCTCACCAGGGCCAAATAAAGTGGAAAGGTGAAAAGTTTATTAGAGAAAGTGAAGGGTTTTTGAGGCTGAAAAGCATCTCTGACCCAAGGTTGAATGCCTACAGACTCTGGCTATGGATAAACTTGGGACTCTTCTAATTTCCACTCGAAGTATCTGAGGGATGGGGGTGCTGGAACAGTCTTCCAACCAAAGGGGTGAAAGCAAAGAACCTGTATCTCCTGAAGGCTGAGCAGGGTGTATTTATTGAATGACCACTCTGATAGGACAGGGGTCCTGGCTCAGCAATCAGCAGGGACCACATGGAATTGGTGTGTGTGGCCCCCAGGTGGGGTATAAAAGGTAGTTGTGCAGTGTGGAAGGGCTCTGGCCTCAGAGCATTGCTAGCTGTTGTTTAGGACCAGCAAAGAATTTTTTTCCATTCCATGAATGTTCCCGGCTTCCATGCACATCCAGAGTATTATTTCTGTCTTTCTCTCTCACCTTTGTCTGAGACTCTGTGATGTTTATCATAGCTAAGGCTAATGGTTACTGACTGCACTGGGCTGATGTTCCTGACAGCACCAGCTAAGGAGCTCTGGGTTTCTAGAGGGCCTTGCTTTCCTGCATTCATACTGCAACACTTCAAAATAAATGAGTTTAAATTTTATAAGCCTATTTAATTTAATGAGGATTAAACCTTGTGACATGTACAGGCACCCACTGATGGGCATATTTAGAGAATCAGGAAGGATTTTTTTCCCCTAGATCAGGCTTAGGAAAGGTGAGAGGGACCTGTGATTGCCTTCTTTTTGTAGTGTGGGGCATGGTCCTCTTCCTAGTTAATAGATACTTTAAAAAAACTTAACAACTTCCATGGTGTTACAATGACAATACCCTTGTCTTCTTGGCTTTTACCAGTAATATTTTCATGGTGTATTCTTGGATAGGTCTCCTTGTAGTTCTGAGTGAGGGTTTGAAATGCTGATTGGGGGATTCCTTGTGGGTGATGCGTGTCTGCAGATGCAGGAGACCATATTTTTTTAGTAGCAAAAAGTGTGACCTTTCTCTAAATTGATAATGATTCATATTTTCCTTACCTTCCTTCCCCAGATGGAAAAAATGTTGCCGAGAGTGAGATGTACAAAGAACAAGAGACTTCACTAATCAACAAAGATCTTTAATAGCGGCGCATGGCACCAGGTAGAATAAAAGACAGTATATGGTGATCTCATTGGTGCAATACAAAGACTCTGAGCAGGAATAAAAAATTCATATGAATAACTATACTTCTTTTTTTAAAGGCTAAACATGAGTAGATATGCATAGTTTATACAACTCTAAAAATGATAAACGATATACCTGCAAAAGTCTATGGTTGAGAGCTAGAGAACAGATAACAAAAATAGGACTAAAAAAGAAAAAAAGGGGAGAGGAAGAGAGGGAAATCCTAAACTGGTGTTGGTCTCTATGAATGGTGTCAATCAGAAGAAATTACTAAACTATCTAGTCCCTTGTAATGAGCCTGATAACTTGTCCTTGATGAAAGCATGTATTTCAGAAGTTTGCTAAAAATCAGTGCAATTAAGCTGAATCACACCAGCAAAGAATCTAGCTCAGACTCTGAATAGTCAATGGTTGGAGAGTTGGTTACGAAGCATGTATGTGATATTGTGCATGAGTATGCATGTGTATGTGCTCCGATAGTCATCAGGGCCAGACAGTGCTGTGATATGCCCCCATTCTGATCTGCAAGAAGCAAGCAAAGGGATTTCTATTCACTCCTGACTTCTGTCTCAAGATGTAATCTCCCAGTTGAGCTAACACTTGGCTCTTGGAAAGACACCTGCTGCTGGCTGAAAAGCTGCAAGTCTCAGAGAATCCACCCCATCCCTAAGGTGTTCCACTGCCTAATTGCTCTTTACATGTTGTGCACAACGAGGCTTAATTTTCAGTCTGAAATTATCCAATTTCAATTTCAAACCATCTGCTTTAAAAAGCCTGGGGCTGTTAGGAAACTACTGGCTAGCAATTTGCACAGGAGCCCACAAAAACTGCCTGTCCAAATCCCATCCATTGAATTTCAAGTGCAGGTTGTCTCCTGATTCCCTTTTGAAAATTCTGCCAGGGACAGAGGATTTGAGGCTGTGTTTTGGACTGGAATGAGAAATTCAGCATTAATTTCAGTGGGGAGTCAGTGCCCATTGAAAATTTGAATCTTTCTATGCATCTATTCCCCTTTCAGTTTCAAAATGGTTTCCTCCCCCATGGTTTTTTTCTTTCAGTGAACCCCACCCACCTACACATGCTTTTGGAGATCTTTTTCTCAATTGCTTGATTTTTGCAAGATCATTGGAAAGTAAACGTTTCCGCCCCAAACACATTTGGCTGAAATGTCAAAGTATGATTAAAAAGTTGGTTCTAAGTCACTTTCTTCAGCTTTGTAGGCTTTCAACAGCAAACAATTATTCCCTGCCTGAAAAGACACTTTCTACAAAGTGGCAATTTAATGAGGATTGAAATTGAAAAATTCCTCATTCAATGAGGAAAAAATCCAGGATTTTTCCATTGAAAAAAGCTTTTTTGACAACACCTGACAAGTCCAAATTAACAGTTCCTTGCCTCACACAGGAAGGTAGTGAAGATGCATTGGTCAGCACATGGGAGTTGAGAGTAATGAGGGTTTTTAAACAATCAGCAAGGTCCTTATGAAGCATACTAAATTAAAAGCACTTCTTGAACATTATATACGGTGAGCTGCATGTAGAGAGGTGACTGTTGACAATCAATACACATTGGTATGGGGTTCATTGGTTGCTGTATGGGATGGTCTGGTGAGAAGAAGATAGGAGCGCTTTTGGTAACTCCCATCACTCTTGATCACAGATATTCACATTTCTTTCACACCTGTAACAAGAAAGATTGAGTGCATTGGTTTATAATTAACATTTAGCTAGAGGCTAAGCTCAGGAGTTCTGGCCAAGAACAAGTGTCCATCGTAGGGGGGAGGGGAGAGAATAAAAGAGGGAGAGAGGAAAAATATGCATCAGGAGCCAAACTTAGAGCTGAGATTTTTCCACACTTGGAAATGAATAGTAATTGAAGTTCTAGTTTCCCTGGTTGGGCCTGAAAATTTAAGGGATGATGAAAGGTATTAACTGTGGTGGGACACATCTGTTTATCTGCTTCATTGGGCAAAACAGATGTTGCCTGTTGTCGTGCAGGGGCCGGATCCTGTGGGACAACAAGTGATGTGTTCTCCACTTGCCGGGATTCCCTGGGGTGTGTCTCTGTAAGCAGTAAAAGATGGAGTTTCCCACTTGCTCAGGACATCTCTCTGCAAGTGGAAACTCCAGATTTCTCTGCCTATGGAAACACACCCCGGAGATTCCCCAGGGCATGTCTCTGTAAGAAGAGAAAACTGGGCAGGTTTTCCTGAGCTTTCAGGGCCCCTATCCTGCATGGGAATTCCTGGGACATGCAGGATCAGGGCTCTCAAGCCCTGGAAGCACCTGCTCAGGGTGTCTAGAGAGCACTCTACTGTCATAACACTACAGATGTCTGGTGCAATACAGTGGCACCAGCTATGTTGCACCCACATGTTCTGGGCATTTGTGGTGGAACTAGGGGGTATGAATGTCTGTTTGCCTGGATTTTTATGGTGGCACAAAGGCAACATCTGTTTCCACTCTGAAACCTTACTGTATGGGCTAGATCAGTGATTCCCAACCTTTTTTTGCTGCAATCCGCTGCTGGGGGTGGGGTGCGACAGTGGCAGCGGCCCAGGGATGGGGGCGGGGGAGCTCCCAGCACACAGCTCATCCTTTGTGTGTAGTGCCGCCGGCATTGCCCCCATGACCTTCATCTGGGTCCTGAGCCGAGGTTGGGAACTGCTGAGCTAGATGCATATGAGTAGATAGGGATGAATAGATAGATACTCTGATAGACAAATGCTGAAAAAGAATGGGTTGCTCACAGAGCTCCTTATAAAGGATGGATAAATAACTGAAAGATAGAGACAGATTGTGGAGGGAAAGATGGATAGTGAGAGAATTACTATGGAGAAGAGGCTGCTGAGTGGAATTTTATGTGGATAAATGCTTTGGAGAGCTGGATGGATCCATGATCCCACCCCTCTTCCCATCCAAGGCACTCCTGTTCACCTTAGCTCCTCCATGCAATGAAGGTCATGATCAGGTTGAATGCGACTCCCTTCAGGAAAATGGCTTTCATGCCCAGTACCATGAAGGACATCAAGTTCAGATGCTCATCTATAAAACAGCAGAAGAATTTAGGTCACCCAAAGATCAAAGCCATCCCTGCAAAACCCCTGTATTCCTATTAGTGGGCAATAGGGGATGGGGCAGGAGCTGTATCATGTCATTGCATTTGGCATAAATGAATTTTAATTGGACCAGATGAATGAATATTAGTTGGACCAGGGAGAATGGGTATGAAACCATGACTGTCCAGCATTAAGCCCGTTATCCAGTTAAAATGGGATATTATGAAGGGGCTGGACTATTCTCTATGGCCATGGGGCTGGGCATGTTCTTGGTGCATTTCTCTGTGTGTGCGTGTAGCATTTGTTTTGCTCATAAATGCACAGGCTTAATGTTTAACTAGGGCAGGGTGACTAGGGCAGCTCCTCAAATGCTGACTCTGGGGGTGGGGTATGGGAACGGAAAGAATGGTTATTGCTACATCATTGCGGCAACTTCCCTGAGCGATTGGCCACATCCTTTCGCTTCTGGGCCTAATTACTGTGTGAGAGAGTCTCTCTCTTTGGGCTTTGTTACATATTACATTTAGCACATTTTGTATTTAAATGATCCTAAGTATTTTAAAAAGTTTTCTGAGCAGTTGCAAGTTAACGCTTACTATGATTTAAATCTAGATTACAGTACCGCACCAGAGTCTTGACTTGGCAACTCCCTGTCCCAGGACTGAAGCCTGAAAATCAACTTATTTTTCAGGCCTCTTCATGGAGATCTCATGGAAGCTGCATCAAGACTCTGGGTATGGTGCGGGGACTGGGAGCAAGAGCGGCACCCAGGCCCCACAGCCTGTGGGAACCTTGAACTAGTTCCTGTGGTGTGGTGCAGGGACTGGGACTTGCCCTCATGCCATGCTGGGTACCAGTCACGCCATGCTGGGCACTCCATGCTCATGCAGGGACTAGCCCTCATGCCATGTTGCTCCCAGCCCCTGCACTGCATTGGAGCCTTGAACAGGCAAAGCTCCTATGTGGTGGTGGGAACCTGACAAATGGCTTTTTGGGCTCCTTCCACCATCCCAGTAGTAAGGCAGACTGAAGTTAGGGCAACATGTGTTGCCTAGCTCTAGTTGGAAATACTCCTCGCACAAAGGAGGTGTAATATTAAGCTGATCAGAGTTCCTGGGGCATGAGTTTTCATGCTGTAATGTGCAGATGCTTGTGGTTTCAATGTGTTTAGTGCAAGGGTAACATCTAACACCCCCATCTGTAGATTGGGCTGTCTACAAGGAACGAGATATTCATTTAACTTCCCCCTCCCAAAAAAATCTGTTTCGATATTCTTTCCCCCTCCAACCTGAAACATTTTTGTCAAAACTTGACAGCTTTGACAAAAAAAAAAATCCACATGTAGGCAGGGGGTTGGACCCAATGATCTGTTGAGGTCCCTTCTGACCCTAGCATCTATGAATCTATGAAAACGCCTGTTTTTAGATTAAAGGGGAGGAAAAATTAGAGTAAGAAGCAGAGGATGGAAGACTATTTCTGTGGAGGGGTTTTGGGTTTTGTTGGTTTGTGCAGCTCTGTACTAGTTTCAGGAGGTTCTGTTTTCTGTCTCTGGATGGGTGGGTGTTTTGTGCCACTTCTTTTTTAACCATATAAAGTCCATATGTATGTTCCAGGTAAAGGATGGATTGTAACCCCACAGGGATCTCCAAGCTAGCTCTTAGTGAGCATAGGGTAACCACAGCTAGCACACTCCACCCTGAAGTCCTGCTGCTGGGCCTTGTTAACCAAGCTATATAGACAAAACCAGCAAGGCACTGTATGCTGCAGCCTTGGACCCAACCGCAGTGTAAATATAGCCTCTGTCTTCAATGTTGTGTGATATCTTTCAGTTTACTGGTAAGGGTGGGGGTGGGGAACAGTGTTTGTATTGACCTTTAAATGGGATTGAGATGCCTAGGTCCTTCAGGACCCTGCAGGAACCTGAATGCTTTTAGGTTTTAAAGTTCAGACTTTTCTATGACTAATGCTAACAATTGAGCAAGGAGATGTATATCATGTGGAAGAATGGGATGCATCTGAACCTGGGCTGGATGGATCTTCAAAGAGGATGGGATTTCTTTTTTTTCTAAGCAGCCTAAATGAAGCTTGCTGCTTAAGTCCCTTGGGAAGAAATCATCATCTGATCCCCTCGGGTTCCTCCCCTCCACCCCCAAAATTCCAAGGCCAAGCCCTTGGCTTCAGCCATGCCACACATCAGGGAGTCTCCCAGGGTAGGCTGGATAAAGACTTTCATCTGTGCCTAGACCTCTTGTGTCCGTACCTGTCTCAAAGCTGTCAGACATCTCCATGGTTGTACATGTATCTTCCTCATCTGAAAATAAAAAACAACCACTTATTCAATTATTTGATGGCGAGGGTAGTCAAGCTTTGCAACAGGCTACCTAGAGAAGCTGTGGAATTTCATTGCTGGACATTTTCAAGAACAGGTTGGACAGACACTTGGCTAGAATTGTTAAGTGAGGGATGATCCTACCTTGAGCAGGGATCTGGATAAGATAACCTTATGTGGTCCTTTCCAGCCCTGCTTTCCTATGATTTTATTTCACTGTCTTTCAATTCATTTCAATGCCAGTTTCTTATGGTCATGCCTAGGGACCAACTGAGGACTGACCTCTGCTCTATGAGGTGCTAAACCAATAGAAGATAAAGATTCATTGTTTCACAGGTTTTAAAGCCAGAAGCATTGTTTAGCCTGACTTCATATAATGCACAAGACCAGTCACCCTTATATTAAACATACCCATTTCTGTTCAACTAAATGAAAGGCAAGGATTTCTTAGAACTATGTAATTTATTGGACCAACTATGTAGTTGAGAGGAAAAGGTACCAAGTCTTGGACTGAGGACATCAAAGAATATATTATTTTCCTTGGAAATTAATCAATGATTAGTCATCTTACTCTTGAAAAATTTGCCCCAATGTCTACTTCTGATTTCTCTACCCTTATCTGTCACCCACTGGTTCTTATTGTGCTTTTCTGTGTTGGTGTAGCACTTCAAATTGTCCCTATTAAAGGTAAGTATCACATTGCAAGCAAGTCACCTCTCAACCTGTTTAAACAGTCCATCCTACAGGAGGGTGGTAGAAACTCCATCCTTGGGGGCTTTCAAAACCTGGCTAGACAAAGCTTTGGCTGGGATGATCTACTTGGGGCTGGTCCTGCTTTGAGCAGGGGGTTGGACTAGATGACCTCCTGAGGTCCCTTCTAACCCTAACTTTCTATGATTCTATGATTCCACTCAATGGCATCTCTGGCTCTCAGATTATTGTCTCCTGGTACGCTCTCTAGCTCTTCAACACTTTTTAAAAAAAAATGAGAACATACAATTTCCATGAGATGATCCACTGTCTGTCTCATTAATGCTGAGTGATAGAAATACCATGAAATGCCAGTGTCTATTTTTGAGAGGTGTTGCATAGCAACTGAGCTGGTGAGGAAATCACTGTTTGATTAATGCCGAGCAAAGGGCTACAAATTCTGTCAAAGCATCAACATTGTCGATGATGGTGGGAAGAACAATGGACAGAGAGAGACAGAGAGACGTGTGATAACAAGGGTAAGAAAGATAGGCAAGTATGGGGGTGCTTATTGCATATCAGGTTATAGGAAAATGCCCAATAGTAAGAAAGTAATTATTTAAGTAGTTGGTAAGTAGCCAGTAGTGGTAACAGTAGTAATAAAAATAATGAATATGCAAGAAACAAAGGGTATATAAAAGAGTTTGGGAACAAAGGGTCATTGGACTAGTGGATTACTAAACTACAGAAACATGCCTCTAAATGTCCCAGTGAGATCCGAACTGCCTGATCAATGGAATATGGAGCAAGGCTTGCTTGCAAGTTAACTAATGCATTTCTTGGTATAAGGGTGTGTGCTGTCTGCTGAATAAACCTACATTAATGGAGGAGAAACACCTATGTCTTTAAGCATTCTCTCTCAACAAGCCACTGGCTCCTCGATCCAAGGGGATGGGGCAACAAGAGAACACACTCTCTACTCATTCTTTATACATACAAAGATTGCACTATGTCGCCACCTCACCTGAGTTTTGGCCAGAGCATCACACTGGGCAGTTTGCTCTCAACCACCCCTAAACACTTCCCAACCTCTCTGCTTCCCAGGAAACAATGTCTTTACCACAAGACTGAACTCTGTTCCTTCTCAGACTCCACTGTGTCCCAAAGCTTGGCCCCTTCATCAGTTACCACCCACCTGAGGTATAGAGAGGAAACCCTGCTCAAAATTCCCCATTTACCTTCGGTATCGTCTGAGCACTTGGATGTGAAGTGCAATGAATGGTTAACGAAACCATCAAAGTTAGATTCGAACCAATGCACTCCTCCATAGCTGGCTTCCTTCTTGTTGCTCTCTGGGTTTCTCACTTCGATAATGGAGCTTTGAAGTGATTCATTCTTTCCTTCGTTAGTGATGATGACATTGTCAGGGAAGTAGTCTGTGATAAGACAGGCTGAAATATGTGTTTCAGGGGACTTCAGCTTGTAGATAGAAGGATCAGAATCCTGGAGGTCTGGAAAAGAAAAAAAAAATCAGATGGCATGGTCAGCATATCTCTGGTTTCTTGAGAAATCCTCCTCTAGTCCTGGAAAACATGTAACTGTAGACAATAATCAAGTCACCCCCTTTAACCTTCTCTCAGTTTGCCTGAGCAGATGGAGCACCTATACTCTTGCTCTAAGTTATGCTTCCCTGTCCTTTAATTATTCTTATAGTTCCCCTCAGAAACCATTTCCCCTGCTGCAGCTTAAGGCCGTTGTTCCTAGTCCTGTCCATTATGGCCATAGAAAAAAGAAGCCCATGTCCATCCTCTCTGTAATTGCCCTTCAAGTATTTGAAGACTTATCAAACATTATCCATCAGCACATATTGAACCAAACATCCATGTTTATGTCAGGAACAAGAAGCGATAGACTTTTTCCATCCCCACAATCCATCATTAGCCCAACATCTGACATTTGCACTACTGAAGTGACATAAGGTAAGTAGGGAACATGCTTCTGTCTTCATTCAATACTATTTGGGTGCTTTGGGCTGCTTCCAAGATACCAGCTAATCTATATTTCACAGTGTATTCCCACAAATTTGCCATTGAGCCCATAACTTCTGCTTGAGCTACAGGATACCTTAAAAGAAGGATTCAGTCTCAAACAGATGCTGAAGACGACTGCATGTTCCTAATGGATTAGGGCAGTGAGGCTGACATTGTCCTTGGGGACACCTAGGCTCAGATATCTCTTGGGCATCTCAAAGGACTTAGCTGCCTAAGGAGTTATTCTATCCTATCCTGTTCTAGTTCCTGAACATCCAATAGTGCATCAACTTTTGCAATACACCAGGTCATCTGACCCTTAAGAGAGTCACAAACAAAGCAGTGAGGAGGAGGAGGATAGTGATCTACCCAGCTTTTGTATTAACTGTTTTTAAGGAACTCAAGCGAGGTGGAACAGGATTGCACTTGGGTACCTTAGTCCAGTTACGTGCCTAATAGGTAGAACAGAATCTGGCACCTATGTCTTATTCCTTCAAAATCTCTCCCTAAGTGAAGACCTAGTTGCTAGGCACTGCCACCCATGGGATCCCGTTTTGCAAAAAGGAAGCTTGCTGTGGAAGCCACTATCTGCTAAAGCTCTCCTTCACCAACCTCAAATGTAGAGCAAACCAAAGTCTCAGCCCTAGGATGCAGCATACAGACAAGTCTGGAAGCTGTGCCTGCTCACTGGGTTCTGCTGTAACTTTGGTTCCTCTGCCAAAAGCCAATTGATAACTGTTTCCAGTGAAAGTATCTTGCCAAAGGCCCTTATAAAAAGATGGTATAACCTTCTCTGCGCCCCCCATAGGCTTATATAATGGAATAGAGGAAGCTCCTATTGATTTATTTCCTCACAATCCAGTAAAAGATGGTTCTGTTCACTTTACAGCCCAAGAAGGTGGGGTTAAGGGAAAATGTCTGTGGTTGAAGCTATTGACTGGTGACCTGGGAGACCTATGCTGCATTCCTGGTTTGGTTACATATTCTCTTTGGGACCTTAGTCAACCTCTCTTGCCTGCGAGTTTCAAGATTGAATTGATGTGTTTGATATATCCTGAGTTAAGAGTGCTTGATAAGTTCTGAGTTAAAAAACTGAGCTAACTGAACATCAAGAAAAAAATTCAGGTCTGGTTAAGACTATTTCCAGTTGGTCACCAAAAGACTCTCTGTCCTTTGGTTGCCTTTCTTTGTAACACGGGCACAATGACACTGCCCCACATGTCAAGGTCCCAGATCCTGCGGTGACAAGCATCGTAGAAAGGCATTTGATAAACAGCAGTTTACTCCCCGGATGAAGTCCTCATCACTGCCCAGGGAAGAACACTCCACTAACTAGTAGACCCCTGGCTCTTGGGAACCTTCTTCTGATGTTCTTCACAGGCTTTCATTTAACAAAACCTCTTTACAAAATCATCTGCCTTCTCTACATGTCTTGTCAAATACCCAGGTGATATGTTATTTCATAGCCATAATCACTTTGCCTAGCGATAGACATTTCTTTCTTGCAGCCTTGCTTCAAAAAGTCACTTATCCTACAGTTCTCTGACTTTTCTAGGCAAAGTTCTCTGACTTTTCTAGGCATTGCCTCGTCTTTGCCAGCTTCATGAGGAAAAATCCCAGAATTGTTGCTTTCTTATCCATATTCTATACTGAATTTGACATGGTGGGTGCCCTTACTGATCTCTGTTTATGAATGGAGAGGTTTCAGGGGTTGGGTACTGGGGAAAGAGAAACAGG